TTTTCATCTTCTTCAATTTTAGGTCCTCGAAATCACAATCACCAATTTTCTTCTCTTCAGTCATCGTTCTTACTACCCTTAAATCATGTTCTTTATTATGTTCTTCACTTATTTTGGGTATTTTTGAGTATTAAACAAGAGTTTGGTTAACATATTTTCTACATTGAAAAATCACATTTACTTTTGAAGAAATAAGAAAGACACTTTTAGAAACCTTATGTAGATTGTACTTTTATTATTGAATATAGTATTTAATAATATTTAGTTGATGTTGCTTTCGTATTTAGTATTTTTTTGTGTGTTTTCTGCAATCATTGGATGATAATGGCACTCCAACCGCTATATAAAATATTGAACACTACTCCAGCCATTATCTGTTACGTAAAAAGGCACTACAGTCGTTATTTGCTGCAGTTTGATTTTTTCATCGAAATGACATCTAATAATGGACTTACTAACGTATATAACATAAAAAGATTGACCTAATCACAAAGAAAGATGAAATGATATAGCTTTTATATTATTGAGATGGTGAAAGCACAAATCGTTCTACTCGTATGTGTCGATTAATTTAATGAACATATCTCTCAATTTTTGTACATGTCATGTGCACATTACAGCATAAATAAGTTCTACTTATTATTTTTCAAGGGTACAAATATGCCGTGGCTGCTTATACTCGTGTTTATACACGTAACAATACAAGTGTTGTTTTCATGTCCAGTAAAGACACTTGTGTCGTTCCAAAAATTTCACCTATATTTTGATTTTTTCAACAAAACAACCTCTAATAATGGACTCGATAACGTATGTAATATAGAAAGTTTGATCACATAATAAATAACATAAATGAGTTTCATTTATTGGTTCTCGGGACACGGATAAGTCGTGTCTCCTTATACTCGTATTCACACACATAACGACATAAGGGTCATTTTCATTTCAACAATTGCACTTGTGTCATTCTGTTGATTTTTTTAATGCAACGACATCCAACAACGAACCTCATAGCGTATGTAAAACATAAATATTGATCACGTGACAAAAAGGATAGAAAAAGATAAATAATATGTTATCGAATTGGTGAAAGCACAAGTCATCCTACTAATTCATGTTGATTAAGTTAATGAGCAAATCTCTCACCTTTTGTACATGTCATGTGCATATTACAACGTAAATAAGCTATATTTATTATTTCTTAAGGTACAAATGGACTGTTATTGAGATGAAAATGTCCATGAGATCGACACAAGTGTTGTTACTAAAATAGAAATGTTAACATCAACATGTTTCACTATCAAAGGGTTGTAGTCCTGAACAAATAAATGGGTGAGCTCGACTTAATCTAACATTTTAGTACCAATATGTTCCACTTATTATTATATGTCATTTTCAATATAAACTTTTTCGTCGTGATTATTTTGTAGATTTGATTGTAGGTTCTTCACAGTGAAGGACATAGAATATTTATAAGCTCAATTCAATATATATTTGATTTGTCTAGAATATATGTCCACTTGGAAGAACTTAGCTACAGAGATATTTGCACGGCACTTTGATCCATGATTTAGTTAAAATTTTAAAGTTACTTTTTGCCCTTACATTTGAGGAGGTTGATTTTTTAGTTGTACATGTTCGATTTAAGTTAAATGTTGTATGTGTAGTTATAGTGTTGATGTCTTTTTAAGTTAAATATTTGCGGTTTAGTTATACATTTCTTTTCAATTTGTTGTTGTCCCTGACGTTATTAGAAATATAAGCATCCGTGGGAATGACAGGTGTCGTTACTGAAATTATAAGAGGGACATGAGAACAACGCAAGTGTCGTTATGTTTGTTACAAGCTTTCATGAGAATGGAACATCGTTACTGAGATGAAAACGTTTATGAAAACGACACAAGTGTTGTTATATTTGTAAATATAAGTGTCCATGAGAACGAACATGTGTCGTTACTCATATGAAAACGTCTACGAGAATGGAAATTGTTACTTACATATGAGTTGTCACGCCACATTCGTATCCCTATAATGATATAGGAGAAACATATGAGAATGACTTGTGCCTTCACAAACTCGATATCATATAATTTATGTTATTTCAATCATTCTTTGTCACTTCCTTGTATATAATTTATCAAAAAACAAGAGAAATTAAAAGAACAACACACGTGCCATTACTGAGCAAAAAACGACTTATAAACACGGTTATAGTAGTCATGTCCCATTCTTTCCACGAGAAAAAATTAGTTAAACTCATTTAAGTTATAAGACGGACATTACATTTACAAAATTTGAGAGATATGCACATTACTTATATTCTAATGAAAACAATAGAACCAATTTTGCTTTCATATACTCTATCATATAATTTATGTCATTTCAACCGTTTTTTGTCACATGATCAATATTTTTGTCTTATGTACTCTAGGTATCCAATGCATGAGGTTGTTGCATTGGAAATAAAACAAAATATAGAAGAAATCAATAAAACAAGAGTGACCGAGATGAAAACGGCACTTGTATCATTCTATTTTCAAACATGATTATAAGTAGTCACGCTCCATTCGTACCCCGAGAAATAGTATGTTGAACTTATTTAAGTTGTAAGATGGACATGACATTTACTAAAGTTGAGAGATATACTCATTACTTATATTCTAATGAAAACAATAGAACCACTCCTGCTTTCTGATACTCTATATTATGTAATCTGTGTCATTCAATCGTTCCATTATTTGAGGTCATTGTGTTGGAAACAAATCAAAATATAAGAGAAATCACTAGAATGACACAAGTGACATTACTGAGAAGAAAACGGCCCTTGTGTCGTTCTATTTTTAAACACGATCATGTCCTTCGTGTCTCGAGAAACAATAAGTTGAACTCATTTAAGTTGTAAGATGGAAATGATATTTACAAAAGCTGAGAGATATTCTCATTACTTACATTCATCAACTTTATATTATATAATCTGTATCATTTCATCCTTTTTTGTCACGTGATCAACCTTCATTTCTTACGTACATTAGGTGTCCAATGACTGAGGTCGTTGTGTTGGAAACAAATCAAATATAGAAGAAATCAACACAATTGGCGTTTCTAAGAAGAAAACGGCCCTTGTATCGTTCTATTTTTGAACATGATTATAAATAGCCTACCTCATTCGTGCCCTGAAAAGTAATAAGTTAAACTCATTTAAATTATACATAACATATAGTGGTTGTTGTGCCCTTTTTAATATAACGAATGTAGTGCCATTCTACAACGTAGATAACGGCTGGAGCGTCGTTATCATCCAATAGTTGCAGAAACACGAAAATACAGTAAATACAAAAAAGAATAAGTTCTAAAATATCATTCCATGTTATATTCAATAATAAAAGTACAATGTACATGGGATTTGTAAAAATACATTTCTTCTTTCTTCAAATGCAATTGAAATTTCAATATAGATAATATGGTAACCAAACTATTGTTCAAAGTCCAAAAGATACCCAAAATAGGTGAAAAATATAATGAAGAATGTGATTTTATGGTAGAAATCACAAGAGCTAAAGAGAAGAAAACGGTTGGTTGTGATTGAATTGGAAATTTAATTGAATTGATAAGAATTTAATATCTTTTCCAATAGTGGGGCTATTTTATGACATTTGACATTGTTTATCTATTGTATTTTATAATTGGTGGCCATTTGACCAATAAACATTGGGATGAGATTATTTAACCAAATGCATGGTTTGACTAGGCTATTTAACCAATTCTCCCTTTTTAAAACGGGGACTTCTTGAACCATGCGATCGCATGGTTTGTCCCTTGGCTACTATAGGCTTCTTAATCCGTGTGATCGTATGGTTTAAAATGATTTTTTAATACTTGAGAAACATGTTTATGTGTAGTATACAGTCCTAGTGCTTATATGCGATTCAACAATTGCAAATTAAAGAGTTAAGGGTTAGAAGAATGGGGTGGCGCCCATTATGCATTCAATTTATATTCTCGAGCTCAACTTTGTGCAATGATCACTCTGGAATAAAGATACCAATGGTAGATTTTGTAGTAGGGAAGTGTTCCATAGAATGCTTCACTCATTGGCCGCTGACTATGAAATTTCCCTTTTTCAAGTGGTACAATTCAACTGTATCGTAAGAAAATACTTGTGCTATTGTGAAATGTCTTGACCCCTTAAACCACAGTTTACTCGAAAAA